AAGAAGAAGAAGAAGAAGAAGAAGAAGAAGAAGAAGAAGAAGAAGAAAGAGCCAAGCAGAGGTGGAACATGCCTTTAATTCCAGCACGTGGAAGCCACAGACAGGTGGATCTTCTAGAGTTTGAGGCCAGTCTGGTCTATAGAGCGAGTTCTAGAACAGCCAGAGCTACGCAGAAAAATCCTGTCTCAACAGACAAAGAGAGAGAGAGAGAGAGAAAGAAACAAACATTTCCATGACTCAGCTAACCTTGAGCATACACAAACCCATGAAGCATGGACTTAATTTTCCTTAACAGTATCATAAACACAAATGCTGTTTTCCCCAAAAAAGGTGAGGCTAGGCAAGGAGTGAAGATGACATTTCTGAGGCCCTTGGCACAGACTATTGATAATGTGAGCCATCCCGCTCAGCACTTAGGACTTTCATAACCCTTCTTGATACAACTGCCATTGCTTCCAAACAGCAATGAACGTGGCCTGGGAAAGAGCGACAGGCTAAACGGCACGGCATGAAAAGGGGTTACTGGACACACGTCCCTAGAAGCATGTCAGGCGGAGAAGGCGTCCTTCGACTGTCCATCAGCGAAAAGGCTGGCAGTTACAAGTATCATTAGGAGCTCCTGGTAACAGATGTCAGGTGTTGGCAGACTGACTGCCAAAACCCATCTTCCTCCACCCCCAGAAACCAAGCTGATGGAGAGCTGGGCACAGTGGGCCTGGCAGGCCCCTCTTGCTTGGATCACTGGTCACATTATCATCTCTCAGTGGCTGGATAAAACAGATGGTTTACCGTGTAGTCCTGCTTTTCTGTTGCTTTCAGGATCCTATTCTTCCCCCGGGGTTGGGCGTGCGATCAGTTTGTGACAGTGGCGGTGCACAAAGGCTCCTGCCAGCAAATCCAAGCATCTCCCTCTTTTAGGCCGGTGTGAACCACCGCAGCCTCCAACTCTGAAACCCCAAACAGACCTAGCCGTGCAGCACAGTTGTACACAGCTTGCTTGCTCTGTCACAGAACCGCAGTTTTCTGGCCTCACTATACTTGAATGTCAAGTGTGTGTGTGTGTGTGTGTGTGTGTGTGTGTGTGTGTGTTCTTGTTTGTTTTGGAGAGTGCCTTCCTAGCTACCCCAGGCCTGGAACTCTGAACTCACTATGTGGCCCAGATTGGTCTCCAACCTGAAACTCCCCTACCTCAGACTCCACAGTGCAGTGGGATCACAGGCATGTGCCAGCTGTCTTCTTCAGGGTTAGTCATACAATTCTGTTTGAACTCCCATGAGTCCTTTTTTTTTTTTTTTAATGTAACAGATTGTTTAATAATTGGGATACAAAAACTGCACATATTTATGAGTTAATGGTGCTGTCTGGATTTGCTGTGTAATGACAGATCATGATAAGTTCCCTGAAATTTGTATATCTATGCATCACCTACCATATTAGGTTCTATATATTCTGGTGAATCTTCAGCAAATTTAAAATTTGATCATAAAATGACTTAATTTAAAAGTTTACCACACAAACATCGAGTGCCTGAGTTTAATCCCTAGCACCTATGTAAAAAACCAATTGTAGGTGCTTCTAATCCCAATGCTGGGGCCTGGGGAGGGATGCCCTGGGGCTTGTTGGCCAGCCAGTCTGGATGAACCAGGGATCTTCAAGTTCACCGAGAAACTGTGTTTCAATAACAAAAGCGAAGGGACTGGTGTGCGAGTGTAGGCTTTTAATCTCAGCACTCCAGGAGGCAGAGGCAGGCCGATCTCCGTGAGTTCAAGTCTACAGAGTGAGTTTCAGGACAGTCAGAGCTATACAGAGAAAGCCTGTCTTAAAACAAACAATCGATCAAAAATCAACTTAAAAGTACATAAATTAAAAAAAAAAAAGGAAGGAAGGAAGGGGCATGGAAGTAGGAGAAGAACTTAGTGGGAAAAGAAGGGTTTCAAACAGCTAGCTCTCAGGAATGAAAATGACGACACATTACAAGCATACTAGTGCGTAGAGCGTTCTTTCACAGGTTCAGTCAGATTTAGTTTTTCTGGGGCGCTGCCCCACATTTAAAAGCCTTTGGATGATCCATTGGGAATGCAGTTTAGGGGTTTCTTAACTAGCCCTGTGCCAACTAGTTTTGTGAACCTGACAGACTGCCTTAGTTTCTCAAGGCCATGCTTCTCATCTCTGTACTGAAGATAAGGAAGCCTACCTGTGCTATCTTCCTCCTAAGTGCTACAAGGTTAAATGCAATGATACACGTTATGCAGTTTTGACTCTGTCTCATTTGTTACATCTCTTATCCAACATATAACTGAGGAGTCACCACAACACATGGACTGTCAAACACAAGGATTTAGCTAAGAATGTAAGAAGACAATCCAATCCAACATTAGTTTTGACCTGTGTCTGGCTTGGACTTATAGTTAATCAGCCTGCCTGGAAAGAATAGAGATGATTATTATTATTTCTCAGTTAGGGTTTCCATGGTTGTGAAGAAGCACCATAACCAAAATCAAGATGAGAAGAAAAGGGTTTGTTTTGTTTACACTTCCACATCTTAGTACAGCACTGAAGAAAGTCAGGGTAGGAACTTAAACACGGCAGGAACATGAAGGCAGGAGCTGATGCAGAGGCCATGTGCTCCTCCTGGCTCACTCAGCCCAATGATAGCACCAGTCCTAAAATGGGCTGGGCTCTCGCCCATCGATCACTAATTAAGAAAATGTCCTACAGCTGAATCTAATGGAGGCGCTGGATCAATTGAAGTTCCCTCCTTTCAGATAACATTAGCTTATGTCAGGTTGACATAAAACTAGCCAGCACATTGTTGTTTTGTTGTTATTAGGGACCAGCCTGAGCTGTAGCCAGAGCTGGCCTGGAACTCCCTGTGCAGACCAGGCTGGCCTCAAACACAGAAGATTCTTCTACCTCTGCCTCTTGAGTGCTGAGGTTAAGGATTTGTGCCACCTCACTCAGCAAGTATTAATATATTCTAAAGAGACTCTATGCCCTCTCTTTGGCTAAGGATCTGTTTAAAAAAAAAAAAAAAATGGATCCCAAGAAATTGGAATCTCCTCCTAGAGGAAGAAAAAGTCCTGAAGGTGGTTGGAGGAAGTACTTTCTCTGGGAGGAAAATTACTTGTCAGAGACACACGGAGCTGAGACAGTCCTGTGGGCAACCACACCTTGGCCGGATTGCTTAGTCATGCTGCTCATGTCTTAGCTTCCATCTAAGATGTCAGAGAGATTCTAGGATCTCATAGAGATGGTCTGAGGTGGGGGAAGATGGCTACATAAAATAAAACTTTTCCTGCTTTGGCTTGCCATTTATTTGCATCTTTCCGTTGGCTTATGCAAGATAGGTGGCCAAACCTGGCTTCTTGGGGCACAGACTGAGCCCCCAAATCCGGTAGCACTTTTATCCCCATTTTTCCGACATATGGCTGAGGACTAGAGGCTCAGTCTCAAGGTTTTAAAGATTTTATTGATTGAGATTTATTTTTATGTGTATAAATGTTTTGCCTGCATGTATGTACAGAACCTGGGGCCCAGAGGCCAAAATAGGGCGCTGGATCCCCTGGAACTGGAGTTACAGATGCTTGATAGCCTTCACGTGGGTACTGGGACTCAAACCTGGAATCTCTTATCGAGCAAATCAGCGCTCATAACCGCTGAGTCATCTCTCCAGGCCCTCTCGAAGGCTTTTATACAGAACCTATGTACCTGCGTTTTTGTTGTTTTGTTTCTGAAAAAAAACTTTATTACTCTAGATCACTGCAAGACATCACAATCATCACAATCATAGGAGTGGTTGAATTCAACTCTTAATACAACCACTATCCGTGGAGACTTACGGAGGGCTGGATGGAAGACTTAATTATTAAGTAGCAGCCTTAGCGAAAACCTGGCTTGGTTCTTTGGTAGGCTCAGGCTCAGCAAAGCAGAAGGCAAGAAAGGGGCCTGTCTGAAGTTTTTGGTTAAGAAACCAGGTTGGTTTAGATCTAGGTACCTAGTTTGACCTCACTTCCCAGGTAAAAGATAACCTTAACTAACCCTTAACAGGAGGCAGTCTGGTTGTGTAACCCTGAGGGTCATCGCCTTGGCACGCTACATAAAACCTATACCTTGCACGCCTTCCTCAAATCAGTTGTAGCAAAAAGAAAAAAAAAAAAAAAAAAAAAAAAATCAGAGCGGTCCTTATCTGCCCCAGGCACAGGCGGTCTAGCTCTGGCAAGACTCCCAGGGAGTTACCCTAGAGCAAGACCACACGCACCTGGCAGGCGCCAATCAAGGGCAGGCGCGCCGGGGCGCAAGCGTCACTGGCCGGGGCGGGGCCTCTCCCGGTTTCGATCTCCGCTCCTATTTGGCATCCTTGTGACAACGTCACAGCCTCACGGACCAATAGATACGGAGCCGGTCCGCAGGGCAGGCGGAAGTAGCGCAGGCGAGGTGGCCCCCGCAGGGAAAGTGCCGCGCGGTGCTTGCAGAGCCGGGTCGTGGCTCATGCGCCTTGGCCCAAGATGTCGCGTTTCGCCCTGACCGTCATCCGCCAGTGAGTACCGCAGTCGCCGGGAGCCTCCTGGCCTGGGTCTACTGCTGGTCCCTGCGTGCTCCAATCCAGGGAGGGTGGGCTTCCCCTGTACTTTGCGTTCTCCCGTGTCTGTTTCCCTTCCTCTCAACCTGCCACCCCGAGTGAGGAAGGCAGCTCTTAAACGCCAGCAGCCCTGCGTTTTCCCCCGAGGAATCAAGTGTGGAGAAGCACACGATCGAGGTTCCCAGCCAGTGAGGGAATACCGGACCCGACCTCTCGACTTCCCAGTGTGACCTTTCTGGTACCTAGGAGATCCCAGAGTTTGTTTAGGTCCTGGACCACGTCTTTCCCACCCCCATCCTTCTTTCCCTTCGCTTTGGGGATGCTTTTGAAATGTACCTTTCGTCAAAGGTTACAGTTCTGAGGAAAAAAAAAAAAAAAAGTGAGGCCCCGAGCTCTTCTCTCTGTCGACTCCATCACCCTGAGCATTTTTGTCATGACAGATTGCATGGAACAGAACCTGGCTTTAGGTCCCACATCGTTTCTCCTCTCAGCACACGTTCGCTCCGTGATGATGGGAGGCGAATTCAGGGTGGGGAAGAGGAGGGAGGTTTTCAAGGCAAAGAGACGTTGGTCAGGATTAGGGTTCCAGCTAGAAGCAGCCTTATACCCTAGGCATCCGAGGACAGACTTAATCTTTCTGACCTGTGTCCTGATAAGCAGATTGGTGGCTGCAGTCTTTCTAATCTCGCCGGGTTACTGTGAGAATGAAATGGAGAAGATGGAGCGCTTGGCAGCAGAGAGGAAGAAATGTCCCCGAGAATTAAGGAACTTGTTCTTTTATAAGCAAAGCTCAGATAAAATGCAGTTAGTTCTCATCTGTCTAGGCAAGGCTTATCAGAACAGCTTATCAGAACAGGGCTGGTTGCCGTTTTTCTCCCTTCATAGGGCTCACAAGAGCCCTGACAGCATTTGAACCTTGTCACGCCGCCTTTTTCAACTGATGCCCTCTCTGTCTAGTACCTCCTTTATAGAAAGACGATCTGTGGCACCTTGTGAAGTGGGCCTTTAGGATTCAGGGATTTTAGTGGCCAAATTAGAAATCTGGTCTCCTGTCAGTTCTGCAGCACCCCCAGTGTTTTCTAGAATGTTCTTAAAGATAATACAGCCTTATTGGGAGCCCTGTAGGAACTTGAGTTTCCATTGCCCTCATTTCAACCTGAGAACATTTTGGATCCAGCTGGTATATCGTCAGCTCTGGAAATCTGGGTTGGGGAAACCTCACTCTCGAAGAGTAAAAGGTGATTCCTATTTAGATCCTTAATGGGCAATCTCTCTGTAAATGGGAAGTTTCTGCTTTTGGCATCTGTGACTCACCAGTAAGGGGAGTCAAGACTCCAAGGAACTTGGTTAAAGTCACGTGTCCAGTTGGGTAGGTAAGATTTGAACCAGGAAAAAAAAAATGTTCTTTTGAACCAGAGCAAATTAACCCACTGTTCTCTGACTCTTAATTACATTAAAGCCTAGTGTTTGACTCACTTGAAAAATATCACCAGCTTTGATGGCCATTTGAAAATATCACCTCCTCATATAATTGTAAGGGGGTGGTAAGAGTAGATGCCCCCCCTCTCCCCCATGGTTGTGGTGGCATGCCTATAATCCCAGCAGTCAGGAGGCAGAGGAGTTCACATAGCAGTGCCAGGCCAGCTAGAAGTTCATAGTGAGATTCTGTCTAAAAAAAAAAAAACCTTTTATTCTCTTTAAGACACAGGAAGACAGGGCTGTGGTTAGCTGCTTTCCTGTGGTGGCCATCTCGGCTCTCCTTTTTTTGTTGGAGTTCTGATAGCGGTGGGTCTGGTGGTTCAAGGACAGACATGTTTTCAAATTTGACTGGCAGTCACCATAGTTAAATATAGTGAGTTATGGAAGAATTGGCTAGTTATTATTGAGCTGTACTATAATTTTAAATCAGTTTTCTTGTGTCTAACCAATCCTTCATGAGGTTTTTTTATTACTATTATGTGTACAGGTGTCTGGGTGAATGTGTGTACCATATGTGTGCCTGGTGCCCACGGAAGCCAGAAGAGCATGTCAGAGCTCCTAGAATTGGAGCTATGGACAATTGGTACCCTTCCACGTGGATGCTGGGAATTAAACCTGAGTCCTCTGGAAGAGCTGAGTCATCTCTCTCTCCAGCTTCCCATTTTCTCCATATTTTGAAATGGACTGGAACACGCTGGATCCCAAACTTCCAATCTCGTGAAAGTTACAGCCTTGTAACCCCCAACCCGGGGAGGCTGCCCTGAGTTGTTCCTATCTAACAGCCTCAGAGGCCTTGGTCCTCTTGAGTGTTTGTGTTTACAGTCAGTCACGTGCAAAACCACTTCACTTCCATTTTTAGCCGGCTCTTAAAACTTTTAAAATTTTGTTTTACAAACTAAATTTAATTTACTACTTGTCAGTATTTTCCCTCTCAGAGGCCAGCCTTTGAGATCCGTATGTGCAAATGAATGAATTGGTAAAAGGAAGTCATGAGCGTCGGGTGAGGCTGCCATTTCTGCGCTGGAGTAAGTGTGTTGTGAAAACCCCAAATGTGTCCCACGAAGACTGGCTTCTCTTGTAGCCTGCTGGCAGCTGTCTGTTGAACCTGAATCCTTTCAAGGATCTATCGAGGGATCATGCATGCACACCTGGCTAAGGAATTAGTTTTTAAGTAAGAGCAGATGCTAACCTACAGCCTGAGTGGGGCCTGCCTTGGGTCTGGTGTTGCCCCAGCGTGTCTCGTGCAGCACCCCTCCCCCTGCCCACAGGGCCTATAAATGGCTGGTCATGAGACTTCAGATCTTGGCATAAGTGTCTAGGCTCCTCGGGAGCCCGGTGTTCTGTTTTGGAAATGGATCGCCCTGCAGATTTGAAAAGGGAGCAACGTATCACTGACTCCTTCCAAATCCATCGCTCTGACCTTTCCACAGCCTCCACCTTCTCGCTCCGTCACAAGCCAAAGTCTGGTTCAGGGAAGTGGATCCCGAGCGAAGGACTTGCTCGGCTTTGCCCAATCCCCTGAACTAACTTGGAACACCTGCCGCAAGGATTTACAGAAACCTTTGAGAGCAGCTAAAAGCGAGAATAGTAAATATTTACTCAGGTTTTGGGGAAACAGTTCTGTTTTGGGATAACCAGTCTTTGAACATTTACAGAGCGCCTTGAGTACAAAACTTGCCTGCTAGAAGCTAAAAGGGAGCAGTGTGTGTGTGTGTGTGTGTGTGTCTGTGTGTGTGTCGGGGGTGGTATATGCCCACGTGGTGGCACGGAGACCACTAGAGACCTCGGTAACTCACTGAACCTGGAGCTAACCTGGCAGCAGCAATTCCCCGGTGATCTTCCTATCCCTCCCCAAACCCTGCCATTTAAGTAGTGCCAGGATCTAAACTCGGCCCTTTCTGCTTACAAAGCAAGCCCTCTTAACCGGCTGAGTGCCTCTCCCCAGCGCCAGCAGAGAGCGTGATCGACCTGCAGCTGAAGGAATGTTTACTACATCGAGTCTAGTCTTTTTACTCCCCCCCCCCTTACTGAAAAGAATCTAGTGATTCTGTGCCGTGTCTGTGCAAAACCTTCATGTCCCTTGGATTGTTTTCAGTGAGTGTTCAAAAGGATGGCCCCTGCTGACTTTGGAAAGAATTGTGGAGTGGCAAAATTAGTAAATTTCTCATGTGTGTGTGTGTTTAATCACTCTCCTCTTTTTTTTTTTTTTTTTTAATATTTATCTGTTTTTATTTTATGTGTTTTGCCTGTACGAATGTCTGGGCACCATGGGCATGCAGTCCCCACAGACACCAGAAGAGGGCAACAGATTCCCTTAGCACTGCAGTTACAGGTGGTTGTGACCCCACGCTGGGTCCTCTGGAAGAGCAGCCAGTGCTCTCAACCCGAGTCACCTCTCTAGCCCCTCCAACCTTTTTGAGAGAGGCTTTTTCATTGATCCTAGAGCTTTCTGATTGTTAGACTGGCGGGCCAGGGAGCCCCAGGGAGGCTCCTGCCTTCAGCTCCCGAGTGCTGAGGTGATGGGCCCACCTAGGTTTTTATTTCAGGTGTGGAACTCAGGTCCTCATCCTTGTATGGGGGAGAAGTTTACTTACTAATTGAGCCACCCCTCTGTCCCCACCTTTGATTTTAAATGTGCATGGTGAGAGTGTGCTTTTTTGGCTCTTCCTGGGTGTAATTGGGGGGGTGATACTTCAACTTAAAAGTAGTTCTATTTCTTTAGGTTTTGGAAACAGGTCTTATGTAGCCCAGGCTGGCCTAGGAGGTACTGTGTGCCTCGACTTTGACTCCTGACCTTACTGTCTCCATCTCCCATTTGCTAGAATTACAGGCTTATACCACTGAATCCAGCTTTTGGTCCTTTGAAGAGAGTCTTGCTTTGTAGCCTGAGATAAACTGGATCTTGATATGTAGCCCAGGCTGGCCTTGAATTTAAGAAGGCTTCCTTCTGAGCTCTCCCAAGTGCTAGAATTAAATCACAAGTCACTGGGAGGCAGTGTTGATTGATCTCAGGGAGATTTTTAGGCCGAGATAGGAAGTCAACCCAGGGCACTGTTTCATGAATCAAGAATGCCAGTGTGCCCAGCCAGGTCTTGGGATGCTGACCTGTGTGCCTGTCAGAGGTTAATGTCCTTTTCTGGGGCTGTTATTTAAGATGCTGCAAGAATTTGCACTCTAGGAACTCTTTTAATAGTGGTCCAGCAGTGGCCTTGGTTTTGCCAAAGCCTAAATAGTTCTGTACACAGTCACTTCATGTATGTAATCATACATTTTTAAATATCTACATGTTTAGTAACCTAAACAATTCTCCTTGTTCCTGTTCCTCTACCCATATGAGATCACATTTATTGTTTATATTTTAGTTACTTAGTTAACTTTGAAATACTGCATATTGAACCTGAGGCCTTGTATGGAAGCAAATGCTTTGCCCACTGAGCTACATCTCTTACATTTTTTTTTTCCTTAAAAAACAAAACAAAACTGTAACAGCATGGTCTGGTACTTTGTATTTGGTTGTTAATTAATTTGCTCCCGGAGGTCTGCTGGCTGTCTTTTAGGAGCAGACACCCACAATACCCCAAAATGATGTTTGCAACCTTCCCTGAGAGATTATTTCTTATTGGCTGACTAAAAGGCCTACACCTGGGCAGTGCAGAAGTGAGGGGTGGAGCGAAGGTTCGATGGCTTGGGGGACAGAAGGATCACAGAGGGAGACGAGTACCAGAGGAGAAAGAAGGAACAGAGCGGCTAGGGGATAGGTAAGGAACCATGCAGCCTGGAGGAATGGACACTGAGGCTCCCGGTAGAGAGAAGTGGCTCAGATGGAGCACATAAACATTTATGGACTCATGGGTGGGAAGTAGCCCAGATAATCATGATTAAAGCAGGTGGCATGGGGTCGGGGCTGGGAGGTAATTAGGTAGCTGAGTGGAAATATCTGCCCCGCCCCAGGTGAACTAAGGCTTATTCTAACATCTAACAGGTGTCTGTGTTTTATTGATTATGATGGCGGGTTAGACGATTCCACTGTGGTAATTACAAGCATTTAATAATAAACATTACTGGCCCAATTTTTTATTTACTACAATACGAAACTTTATTTTTGAAATACCCTACCCATGGCTGGAACTCAAGGTCTAGTCCAGGCTGTCCTTCAACTCATAAAGTTCCTCCTGCCTCTGCCTCCATGCCTGACCCTCGTATGGGTTTTTGTTTTTTAAATGTATCCAGTGTTTCTTTATGCAAATCTAGATGTTTTCCATTTCTCTCATTTCTAAGAAGTTTGCACTTTAATATTTCACACTTGCCTTGGTCCAGTCTTTTCTCATGAGGGGGTTGTTCTCTTTCCACACACTCCATCCTTTTTTTTTTGTTTTTAATGTGTATGAGTGTTCTGCCTGCATATCTGTGTGCACATCGCACGTGTACCTGACGTCCCTTGAAGTCAGAAGAGAAGGTATTGGATCCTCTGGGACCGAGTTCAGAGCCACCGGGCGGGTGCTGGGAATGGAACCCTGGTCCTCCGCAAGAGCAGCAACTCCTTTTATTGACACAGCCATCTCTCCCGTCCCTCTTAAAGTCTTTTAGATTGAATCTATGTTCCAAGTTTGTTGTGACCTGAACAAGCATGTGGAGGCCAGAGATTGACAGCAATTATCTTCCATCATTGTTTTCCACTTTTTTTTTTTGACAGCAAGACCCACGGATCCTTTGCCTCCACCTCCCCAGTGCTGAGTTTACAGGCGCGTGCCGCCAGCTTTTTCCACAGTTCAGGGAATCCCATCTCGGTCCTTACACCTTTACCAACAGGGCCATCTCCAAGCCCCACTGGGTGCCTTTTAAGTGCAGGTCTAACCTGCCATCTAGGCTTGCCCATGTGGCTCCCTCCCACGTCCCTCCTCCAGCCTCAGTTTACCAGTCCATTATCTCCTGGAAATGTTTCTAGGCCCGTTGCTTTAAGATCGGGATTGTTTTGACGTTTTAATTCCTAAAAAATGTAGTCATGCACGGTGTAGCTACCCCACATCGTGACTGCCTCGGATCCAGGGCCTGGGGCAGTTCTGGCTGGGGGAGAAGGGTCCTCGGGATTTCTCTTCTCTTTTCTCTTCTCTTCTCTTCTCTTCTCTTCTCTTCTCTTCTCTTCTCTT